AATTTAGAAATGCTCCATAAAAATCATGCCAGAATTTATGAATGTATTATGAAAGGTAAACTATCTCAAATGTAATGTGGAACTAACACCGAAAATATGTATGTAGCATATGAATGACTGGCGTTTATTTTGCATAAAAGTGAGCCGAGCTTTAGCATTCAAGATCTTCAATTTATTGAGGTTATGTACCATTGGATCGCGACGGAAATACTGTTCAGCCCTTTTTCTTGCCTTCCTAGCTTGATTGCAATCATTTGTAAACCATGGCGTACGTATGTGAGTATTTGCAGAGGACTTTGGAATGGTAATGTTAGCAATTTCATTCAGCTAACCCGAAAATAAATGAATAGAATCGATAACATTCTTGAACATATCAGCATAGGGTTCCTGAAATGAAGCCAGTTAGTCTTAGCAAAATTCCACCGTCATGTTGCAGGAACATCAGTTTGATAATATGGGACTGAATGAAAATGGTCGCTTCCACACAAGTCACATCATCCCGAGGCAAGGGGGTTAACTGACTATACAAATCCACTTTCCACCCTTGCCGAACTACGCTGCAATTTCATTGCTCGATCGCAGGACCATCAGTGGCATTTACAAGTTATGGTATGATTAGTTAGAAGTAAAACACAACATGCCCAAAGTGCAGGAATATGTAACATCAAAGTAGGTTGGGAATGTATGTATCCACTTAAGTGTTAAAATATCCTGCTTGGAGGAGCTGGTTTTGAAAACGTCATGAGATAAGTATTTGATTTGAAGATTGCATCATCTCTTTTGTACGTGACTCCCTGATCTTGTAATTCATCTACTATTTCAGTGTCAGTGATATCAACGTTCCCTATATCCTACAATGCCTTTGCTTGAATTGAGAGTTCTGTGTGGTGAAACCAGAAGTAGAAGCCATCTGTCTGACAGCTTAAAAGATTGTTTTGCAGTTTTACATTCTCTGTTCTAATCCTTTGACATCCAGCAATGCCATAAAATGGCTTAGAAATGGCCAAGTCCTAAAGTGAGACAAATCACAAGTCAAATCTGAACAAATAGAATGAGAGCACATGGCTTGGCATGACCAGCCTACTAACAGGACGGCGTCCCTGCGTCATTTCAACCTCCCATGTAGGTTAAGAGAAGGTCGAAGTGGTGTACCGGGCAAAGAAACCATATTCTTGGAACAAGTGACCTCAACCACCACTCCACTGACAGGTTGCCAAATTCGTATGCCTTCTGTGACCAGCAATGCGGTGGTGGGGGCACACGGGGCGGACACTGGGAAGGTACCCGTGTTTGCTGCCAGGAACACAGCCTTTCTGAAAATCTTGGTCAAGTAATAGATTGTGTTGGGGAGTCTTGAACTGACTTGTCTTTGCATATGTCTGTGATGGGAGCCACCTGTGGGGAAGGATACGCTCACATTCTTTGCGAACACCTTGTATCATCACTATTCCATAGTTATTCATAACAACATGCTCATGATAGAGTCGGAATTGTACAAGCGACGTTTATTTCTTATTCATATGGAAAGGGTTTTGTTGCATTTTTTTACATTCTCCGAAAAGTTCTTGGTGGGTTTGACTAGGTAGCGCCAAGCGAAAGTGCCATATCGAATCGGCCCGGACTCAAGGAGAGGCTATCTGAACGACCATTGCATCAAGTTTATGTGCAGTGTGTTGAGAAGATCAGCAATCCTGCAGAGTCCTTCACTTGGCCTGGCCTGAAATGTGAAACAGAAGGCTTTCTGTTTGCTGCTCAGGACCAGTGACTTCAAACTTGAAACCGTCAATGTGTGATTTTGCATCAAAATGTAAGTAAGTAGATTTTGCAATGAAATTAATAGGTTAACTGCATATCATTGATCTTATTGTTCCTTTTGACACTACTGACCTCGCTTTCGGAATGGCACACTTACATCCTAGAAACCTAGTTGACCGACTCCCCATTGTTCGGGAGTCTTCACATTCTCCGAAAAGTTCTGGGTTGGTTTGACGTGGCAGGGCTTCCTGGGAGAAGTCCAGTGCGCTGTCTGGGCTGCGTGTTCAGGGGACGATTTTTCTTACAACAAAATGTCATTGTACTATTGACCTCATGGCTACACATACGAAATAAATCTGTCTATAATAATTTCATTTATTTTATCAATTTCATTCTGTGGAAATGATTTATTAAAATGTTTAATTGGCCTCCGTTTCTCAATCGGTAAATCACAGATTTGATTATAGAATGACATAAACAAAATATATAAAGGATCATTAGTAAGATCATTGACAAAAGAGGGATCGGAAGAGGGACAATACTCAAAATCTTCGGGGCAACCATCAGGAATTTCTTTTTGTGAGCCCATGTGTGGGTCATTTAGTGACATTTTCATCAGGTAATACAGGAAGAAGAATACGAACGTTCATTTGCAATTTCGGGTCTGCTACTGTTGGAACTGAGGGTTCACGCAAAGGCGCCTGAGTGTTGGCTATTAGCTCACCAGCTTCACGGCGCAAATATAATTTTAGTCCTCGGAGCTGATCACGGATGTTTTGTTCCGTGAGATGTGCATACATTGGCAAGGCGTTGTCCCAATGCTGCTTCAACAATTTGCGAATTTACTCGTAGTATTTCTGGCCACCCTGTTGCTTTCGAACACCCAAGAAGTGAGGACTTAAGTTGTTGCATCCAAGATATTCTTGGGCGGGGTCTGTGCCTCCCCCTGAGGCAAGTCCCATCTCCAGTTTGGTTGGTTTGTATACCGGAGGGAGGCTGACTGGGCTGCGGAGTTAAAAATTGAATGTTTTCTTGGCTTTCCGTAACCCAGTTTGAAACCAGTTTCGAGAGGTTAGCCCAAACTGGGTGATGTACGTTTAGTTCAGGGGAATTAATCCTCCCGATCAAGGCCCACCACGGAGAGGCGTACTTAATCAAGCTCTTCCCCCAGTCGCTTATATTTACCAATTGTGATGGGAGGGCGTGGTTTGATAAATGTGGAGGTTCTTCATGATAGAATTGTTTTGTGCACCTTTGCACACATTTATTTGTATGAAGCATGCCAAGACTCATGATGAAAACCAGGCATTCCGCAGTTTTCTAAAACGAGCCAAGGATGTAGGACATAATCTCAATATCAGTGTTGATTTTGTTGATGGTTCTGTACTGCTGGACGTTACAGAAATGAGTGTCAACCAAACGAAGTGCCATATCAAATCGGCCCAGACTCAGTTTTCAAGGAGAGGCTTGTAGATTATGTAATGAATTTAACGAGACTGTCCAACACATTGTGAGTGGATGCCCAGCTTTGGCACAGGCACAGTATCTTAAGCGACATGATGGGTTGGCTCGATCATTTTATTACCGTCTTTGCCATTGTGGTTTTGACACAGAGGTCTATCCATGGTACGACCCGGACTGTAGAGGGTGTCATTGAAAATGATAAATACAAAATCCTTTGGAATAGGCCCGTATACAGCCTCAGACATATCCAGGCCAACAAACATGATCTTGTCCTGTTTGATAAATCCAATGAAATCATTTATATCATTCAATTTTCTGTCCCTTTTGACACTAATGTGATTGACAAGATTGAGGAAAAAACATGGCAAATATGAAGACCTCGCTTTCGAAATGTCACGCTTGCATCCCAAGTACCAAGTTGTCCGACTCCCCATTGTTCTCGGTGCCTTAGGTTTGGTACCTCCCAATCTGTTGACTGACATCGGGAGAGTACCTGGGTTTGCTACCAGAAATACAGCCCTTCTGACAATCTTGGTAATGCAGAAGGCTGTATTGTTGGGGAGTCTTCACATTCTCCGAAAAGTTCTGGGTGGGTTTAGGGGCGGTCGGGTAGCCTAGTGGTTAAAGCGTTCGCTCGTCACGCTGAAGACCCGGGTTCGATTCCCGACATGGGTACAATGTGTGAAGCCCATTTCTGGTGTCCCCCGCCGTGATATTGCTGGAATATTGCTAAACGCGGCGTAAATCCATATTCACTCACTCTGGGTGGGTTTGACTAGGCAGCGCTTCCTGGGAGAAGTCCCATCCGCTGTCTGGGCTGCGTGTAGAGGGGGCAAGGGCCCTGAGCTGATGTTGAGCCTAACCAGCCTGACTTTGGCAGGATCACTCAAACCCTCTTTGCTGCATTTTTTTAATCTGTAATTTATAATAATGATAATGATTTCTAATGATATCGGCATATCCTTTGGACTCGACAAATGCAACATTCTGCATCTGAAACGTGGCAAGGTTTAAGAGGGAGCATCAATCAGTTTGCTTGGGGGAGGAGTTATTGACCATCTCGTTGAAGGTCAGGCCTATACGTAATTAGGGATGCAGATTAGGGACACAACTCCAGAATCCCCATATCAAGGGATGACTTTGGGCAGAGTACAAATGTAGACTTAAGAAAATCTGGAGTTCAGAGCTGAACGCTCGCAATAAAGTTAAAGCCACACATACTTGTGCTGTACCCGTCCTTTCATATTCTTTTGGTGTTGTTGATTGGACGAATAAAGAAATTCAGGGTGTTGACGCCCTCACACGCAGAATCATGTCAGACAATAGTTTCAACCACAATCGCTCTTTCCTCAATCGCTGATATTTACTAATTGATTAAAGTTGGGACTCTTCGTGATAGAATTGTTTTGTGCACTGGGAGAAGGACAATTGCTGTCTGGGCTGCGTTTAGAGGGGGTAAGAGCCCTGAGCTAATGGTGAGCCTAACCAGCCTGACTTTGCCTGGATCACCTTAACACTCTTTGCTCCATTTTATATTTTATTCTGTAAGTAAGTAAGTAAGTAATAATAATAATAATAATAATAATAATAATAATGTTGCTTCATAAAACATCTAATCCACAAAAACAAGTCATTTGGAGATGATTCGAGATGTGCATCTTAGAAAATAACAAATGACGTTGGCTTCGTTTTGTCAACACTACTCCATTGATGTATGTTTCATTACACACACATAGCCATAGCCAAGGTACATGGCATGTAGTCTGCAGTTTTCAGGTGAAAATGTTTCATCCTGTCTATGAGATCACATCATCTCTTCGCCATCCATGACTATCGCAGTCAGGGCTTCCAGAACCTTGACGAAACCTTGGTGAAGAAGACTCATTCGACTGACTACATGCGGCTACCGTCATATAGACGAAAAGCACGCATGGTACCATCAAATTGAGGTAATCGCGACATTGTTTTGTAAACCGGAACCCGTGAATCATATTTGACATTAACTTTTCTGACTGCTTTTTCTTCGCTTTCCATCTTCTCCTTACCCATCTCTTTTCTGATCAACATTTATTTATAGTATCTTTGAACTTATAAACTATGCTTGTGTCCAGTTTCCAAGTTTAATAATTAACGTAAAAAAACATGGACGTAAAAATAATGATATACTTTTAATTTGTGTTGTATCTATTTCTCACTACAGGTTAAGAATTGGACGGAGAACTATACCTCTGTACAGATGATTTGTCCATCACATGGTTCCTATTTTTGGAAGATGGATCTGCTGATTTAGCCTCAACCATGGCACATGCAGGTACTAGATTTATCTTGGATCCTCTCGGTGTGTGCCTCTGTTTATGGTTGATTTGTGACAGACGTATGTACTGGCACCTGTTTTGCTTGTTTAGATTATTCATTGTCTAATCCATGTACCCCAGTTATGTCTAGATGATGCCTGAACTCAACCCGGTGATGATTTTTACACATTAGGAATAGTGTTGTTTCTTTTGCAGGGCATACAGAGGTCTTGAAAAAGAAAGTTCGCGATAATTACGCGTTTCTCATTGGCCACTTGGATTTGTCAGTCATAGATTTTTTATACCAAGAAGGTGATTTGACAGAAGAAGACCTGAGCAGAATCGCCTCCAAGGAACCCGTTCAGCATGAACAATACAGGGAATTATTTAAAATTATGTTTGCCAAACCAGGTGATCCTTTCGTCTCATTTTTCAACTGGCTCGACACTGAAGACAACAAAAAACAGAAACAACATCTAAAACAAGTTTTAAACACAGGTATAGTGGTATAGTTATATGTGGGAAAGGGATTTGCATTCAATATAATACCAATAATTTAGGAATGGGTCTTATATCTCATTCACGGATGACAACAGGTAAAACAGGATTAGAAAGAATTGACCACAGTGCGAAGTTTTATAGAAAACTCCTGTTCGAGCTGCCAACATTTTGATCCAAAATTGTTAAATAATATCACAACATCCAAGTTGTCACTTACGGTTAGTGATCGACAGATGGATAGGGCGTCTGTCCTGAGAGCGGAATATCGGTGGTTTCATCCGTGGCCATTCTTACCAAAAATATGTTAAAATATGGTACTTGTTGTTTCCCTGTCTGTAGCTAAGCATTCGGGGGGATAAAACAAGGAATGGCCGTTAAGTCAATTGTTCCCTTGACAAAAACATGGGAATATATGGTACAACTCAAAATAGGGAATGCATTCGCTTGCTTTTGGTCACTGATGTTTCGTCGACGTGTCTAACATAACACGTTTTGAAAGCCTTACTGACGCCTTGAATGTTATAACCCTGATAAAAACAACTTATGAGCAATTGATTCGTATGACACGCTTTGAAATATTCCTAGAAAGAGCATATGTACTTTATTTGTATGCATGGGTCTCTTAAATTTCTATATCACGTCGGTAAATCACTGAAATGGAATGGGCTATTTGATTATTGATAAACCTGAAGCTTAGTTGCCTGGACAAATTCCATTGCTTTTATTTTGTCAAACCAAGCAGAAATTCTGATTCATATGCACACAAAAACAAATAGGCAAGGAGGGGAGCACAAGTGGTGCCCTTGGAGATGCCAAGTCTTGCCTAAATGCCCCATCCACATATTTCCTATGGTGACTAACATGTTGTGAGAATAACGTACTTTTATATCTTATTATTAGTGACAACACTCATAGATTTACAGTTCGAAAAAGCAGACTCTCTACCTTACTTGTCCACACCAAATGAGAAATTATGCTACATATCATGTTGACAAATACAAATACGTATGCCATGTACAAACACAATCCGGATTTGTTCACTCCAATATCATAACCATGTAGATTGATAATTGTTTCTCATAGTGTATTTTTGGTATGTAATAACTGGCCTGAATGCATTTGTTATAAGCAGTGACTGTCATTACTTATAGCTCGATCAAGAGCAAAATTTGTCAACATTGTTGAAATGATTTGCTATTCGTGCATGTTCTGATACAGGGGGAAATAAACCAGATTGGGAATTTACAGAAGCTCAATATCCTAAATCAAGTATCAAACATTTGCCAGAAAAAGATTAATGACAATTAAACATATTCATGAGGACCACCCAGAACCATATATCACTAATTCTACCACGAATTTGCAAAATGCATTAATTTGATTGGGGGCCCAGTCGTCTAAGGCGCCGCGATTCGCTGTGCAGTGTTGCGTCCCTTGGGCACGCCAGAAACCTATGATTTTGGGTTCGAATCCAGGTTCGCCCCGATTATGTTTCTGGGTTTGTCAGCACCGTACCCGTGCTTGTGGGTTTCACCGAAGTGGTATACGTTTGAGACCTGCATCATTTCGGGCTTTCCTCCCACATTAAGCTGACACGCCGAGATATAACTGGAATACTGATAAAAGCGGCGTTAACCCCAACTCACTCACTCACTCACTGCTCGGAATGGCAAAAACGAAACAAGGTATATTGGTCAAGAAACTTAAGTTAAGCTTCAGGTATATCGATGATCTGACATCTTTTACCCACCTAAACTAGAAATAAATGAAACCAGAGAGACTGTCTCATCTGTTTCATATTTAGATCTATGCATAAAGATTCAGAGTGATAAAACACTCTCAACATGATTGTATGACAAGAATGACTTCAGCCTTCCAATAATCCACTTTGCCTCTATGTCGAGCAAGATTTCAGTAGCTTCCAGCCTTTTGGAGTTTACATTTCACAAGTTTTGAGGTACAATCGGGCATGCTTTTTCTACCAAGAAATCAAAGAGCGTCACAAGACCCTTGCTGAGAAGTTGTTTCATCAAGGTTACAACATTCAAGGCCTCAGTAAAGCTTTCAAAAAGTTTTATGGTAGACATGTTGTGGACTTAATCATTTGGGGGGCATGGGTGGCCCAGTCGTCTGAGGCGCCGCGATTCGCTGTGCAGAGTCGCGTCCCTTGGGCACGCCAGAAACCTATGATTTTGGGTTCGAATCCATTTTCTAGGTTTGTCAGCACCCTACCCGTGCTCGTGGGTTCCACCGAAGTGGTAAACGTCTGATACCTGCATCACTTCGGGCTTTCCTCCCACATTAAGCTGGCACGCCGCGATATAACTGCAATATTGTTAAAAGCGGTGTTAAATCAAACTCACTCACTCACTCAAGCATCGGTGACAAAAATGATATCCGATGCAGTTTCCTATTTTAAATTGTTCCCGTGTTTTTCAGGTGAACAATTGACTTGTTGTTTCATGTATTTGAGATTGGTACCAGCGATGGGGCAGGATAAAATGTTTTTAATCATCCACTTGTCAAAACTAGAATATATAAAAAAAATAGTTCCGGCTTTTTCAAATGTAATTTAATTGAAATGTTGTTTCGAGATAATGTATAACTGACAAACAACTATGCATTACTGAAAAATAATGTAGCCTTTAACACGCTGGATGCCGACTTCTGAACAATCAAGGTTGCGCTCATGCGGCACTGTAGAGATGTAGACTATTAAACTTCCTATCTGATGGTGCAAATATTAATCCGGTTTCAAAAAGAGACACTGCTATACTGTGTTGGAGCAAATTTCTCCGTTGTATATCGTACACCGATAAAAGTACTGTGCGACTTTTGTGTTTATGTAGTCAGCTTTACGGAAACTGTGAGAGAACAAAATACTGCCTAAAATCTGAACGACATATGTACATATCAAATGGATTTATCTGCTTATGTTTAACGTTATACCTTCAATACAAAAATAACCTGCCGTAAATGACGAAAACTGATTTTCCTCTATGACGTCAAAAGACGACAGGGATGTTACACACGTGCAATGAAAAGGGGGCATATCTCCGTTTTGCTCAGTACTAGTTTATTGTCATTCGCTGTGGATAAGTAAAATATATTTTCGTGGTGTTTTGTTCACGAGGAACCAAACTATTCCACACAAATAGCATGGCAGCGTATAATAGAAGGTAACAACGACCATTCCGTAATCAACAACGTGTGAACATCTTCTGGCATCATCGGTGTGGATATTTCGACGTGGAGAGCACGAATTGGAACATTTAAACAGCCTGTATCACTGAAAGCTATAGTTGTTGATGAATATGACGCCACGTCGCGCTGGTCATGGATAAATGACTCGATGTTTCGATTATCGTGTATGGGGATTTTAGTGGCGACATACTACTTAACTGTGTGCCAAGTAACTCAACTTGTTCGTACTGTTCACCCCTTTTGACAGTGTTGACATTTTCACCCTCTTATACCACTACTCATCGAGTACAACAAGTGGTGATCTGTCACCTTCAGTCTGCCTGGCAATATGTACTGTCTTAAGAAGACTACTTCTCATTGCTGGTGATATTGAGAAGCAACCAGGCCCGACCGTGGAGGAACAAAGAATGAGTTTGAAGGATGCACTATTTAGCAAAATGGAGGAAAACAAGAAAACAATATGTGTAACAGTGAGTGAAGTTCGAACACAGATGATAGCCATTGAAAAGAATCCCGTAAACGCACATGTTTTTATACCCATTCTTGGGTAATGTAATGCATCGGGCTCTCATAAAAGACAACTTTTGCATGGAATGCTTGCTTTTCTGTAGCAGATGCGTTTTTGTGACTTGATTCCATACATGTACTACAACATTGAAAACCAAACTTCACTTGTTTTAAAAATACACTAAAAATATTGGTTTCACGGGGACTTTTGTTGTTGGGTATATTTGTAAAACAAGAAACTCATGACAGGAACTTTTGTTGTTGAGTATATTTCTAAAACAAGAAACTCATGGCATGATGATGACTGTCTGTTGATGAAACACGAACGCTGTCGTGCACTTAACCAATTTAGAAACACCAAAGACAATGAAGATTTGCTGAATTATTGTTAGATAAGCTTAAGGAATGAATATAAAACTATTTGTAGCAAAAAACCAACGTGATTACATGAACAATAAACGTACTACACTGACGCAAATGATTGAAAGACTTTCTGGAAGTACACCAAAGTCTTGCAGAATACGAAAAGTAATCCCATAAATTCAAAAGAATGGATGTCATTGGTATACTTTGAATAGTTATTTAATCAATCAACAATTGAAGAAGATAGTGATTTCTTAAACGACGAAGCAGAACCACTAATAATAGAAAGCAAGGAAATCTCCCGCGACATCTTGGATGGACCATTATTGACGGTATTAATTCTCTCAGTATGGACAATATTCTCCCAAAATGTCTAAAATTTGCATTGCCTTACATTGTCCCTCATGTTGAGTTAATTTTCAATAGTATCTTTAATAGTGGTGTTTTCCCCAAAAATTTGGATACAGGTGTTATTATCCCATTACATAAAAAAGGTTCAAGATTAATCAAAGATAACTATAGAGCTATTAGTTTATTGAGTATTTTGTCTTAAGTTTTCACAGGTATATTAAATACTAGATTAGTTTTTGGGGCAGATATGTATGACAAAATATCAGAATGTTAGTCTGGGTTTAGACGAGGACACTCGACAATTGACAATCTATTAATTTTAAACTCGATTATTCAACGATATTTAGGTATGTCTGGTCATAAGTTATATGTAGTCTTTATAGACTTTTCAAAGGCGTTTGACTCTGTTCGTCGTTCTTATTTGTGAAAAGTATTTGAACAGCACGGTGTCAGCTCTAAGATGTCCAAATGTTAAGTCAATTTATGGTAACGTTATGTCATGTGTCAGAAGTAATAACCTGTTGTCAAACCAACTTCATAGTAATTGTGGTGTTAGACAAGGCTGCGTTTTAAGCCTTCTTATTTCAGTTATTCATAAATGAAATTGTACTCACAATTGAACAGGAGCAGTTATCTGGAGTACAGCTACATCCTAATATTATACAAGTGTTATTATTGCTCTATGCAGATGATTTGATTATATTTTCAGACACTATTAGGGGATTATAGATGGAATGATCTATCATAGATATTGTGTGGACTGGAGTAGACGATAGAATTGTTTTTTCCAGCAGCAGGCTGTCATGGACACAAGCTTTAAGCAACATAGCAGTTCAAGCTATAATGGTACTAATCAATCTAATAAAAAGCATTAATTGTTTACAACCTAAGAAGTTGAAAAAGTTCATTTATATGCGTGTAACTGGTTATTGAATGTTAAACAATGTACATCAAGTAGCGCTGTATTGGGTGAATGTGGCAGATTCCTTTATATATCAATGCAATGATGAGAGCTTTTAAATATTGGCTACGTTTAATGTGTATGCCGGGTATCCGCTTTCCAAAAAAAAGTGTTTTGAAATGTTGTATTTATACGATGGTCAAGGAAAGAAGAATTGAAATATTAGAACAACGTTACTTTCTCTCAGATTCGGTCATGTTTGGTTATCACAATCACCCGGTAATGTACAGGTGTTTACTTCGATGTTATTGCAACGTTTGAAAGATAATTTTCATTAAATATGGCACAGACGTTTATGTAATAGCTCTAAAACGACCTTCTATTCTCATTTTAAATATTAACGCTGAAGTGTAAAGAATATTTGTATTGTGTAACTGTGAGTAAATTCCGGTCATGTATGTCAAGGTTTAGATGCGGTGCACACTGGCTGGAAATAGAAACTGGTAGAAAACTTGATATCCCTCGTAAAGAAAGATTTTGCAAACTGTGTCAATTTAGCCTATTAGAATCCCAGTTTTATTTTCTGCCCTACATATACTCACCTACGCTATCTCTATATTCCTTCAAAATAGTATTTACACCCAAAAGTCCATAAGTTTAATATTCTTTTCTCTACAACTAACACAAAACTCATTATTATTATCGCGTCCCCCGCCGTGATGTTGCTGGAATATTGCTAAAAGCTGCGTAAAGGAAAAAATCGCAAATCGTTTGTGACTAACGCGCACTTGGCAAAACACCGTTCTGTATATCAAACGACATAAAAAACAATTCCCAAACCAAGACATCTACAAAAATGTCTGCATTTATTTAACACAAAATGATCCATTTTGTTGAATACGTACATGTTGCAGTTACAATAATTTTACATTTATATCCTCTAACACTTGTCTGAAGGAAAGAAATACGACACTTCAACTTTTCTTGTGTAAACAATCTTTAAACCAGCAGGAGATTATCAAGGGTTCATAAATTTTGTGGCCTATATCTACGTATGATATATTGATCATTGATAAATGATGGGGGGGTGGATGGTCAAACAAAATAATTCGTACCTGTGGACTGGGGTAAGATAGCATCAAAGAGCATGTTAATGAAAATACACACACGGTGGAGACCTACGTAACATGCTAGAAAACCAGCATGGTACACGGAACGTAACTTTGTATTGATGCGTTATGGATATTGAAAATGGCGATTTTTTGCTTTGCCTAAAATGACATTGGATGATATCACAGAACAGGGAATTCCCTGAAGTATTCGAATTTGTGAAGTGTATTTGTGTGCGTGATGTATGTTGACTTTTATTCGACTTCAAAGTGAGGGTTAAAGAGGAGGGACATATATGTCCCTCTGGCATCCAGGGAGTTTAACAATCAAATGACGTCACACATGTCAAGCTTCACATCTTACAGTTTTATTTCATGACACATGATACTATTTGAATCTATTAAACTGAAACTCGTTACAGGTTACGCGCATTTTACACTCACGCATATGCCATTAGTTGGCTGCACACGGATTGAGCCCTCTTGAAACCAATGCAATGAAGGACCAGTGTCACATGTTTGTGTCATGCGTTCTCAACACATGTAATTTAAAAGGGAAATCAACTTCTAGGTCGTGGTGTATATGCGGGTAAAGGATGAGGATGTAAAAAACGACGTTTGCGCATTTGAGGTGCAATATTCTCAGACTCTGATCTGCCCTGCCCTTGTGTTATACGCTTAATCCCTAGTACCATCTTTTAACATCTGTTGGTATGACCACCTTTCTTTCGCTCTAAGGTCTGACGCTCTATCGACTAGATTCGGGCGTGGTCCTTCATAGGAGGTTATGAATGATAACAGTTGCAACTAAGTACAGACGGTACTGATTAACTTCGAAGTTGTTCCATAGTGACGAATGAACTCTTAATAAACATCATCTTTCAGGCACTAACATCTCTGGTAGGGACATGGGCATATTGGAAATACCTGTCTGACACATAGGTCACATAGTTGCTACAATGTCAAATCGTTGATGCTCTTCTGGTTTTGTTCTTTGCGAATTGTATGAATATTTTCCCAATTCATGTATGATATATCATAACAGCTCATTTTTATGTTTAATTTTGTTTCGTGTGTAACAGTGGTATTTAATGAAATCATAATGATTGCCGTTTGCAATTTATATCTCGATCAAATGGTGAATTAAAACAATCAATTCTATAACGATGCACCTATCTTGCTTATCCAATAATACAGGGAAAAACGAAACACGTGAATTGGCAAGGGAATCAACTCACGGTAAGTATACTCTGAATACCTAACATATGCTTAGAAACATATAATTTTTAAATTTGAAGTTTACACGATATACGGCTTTTCCATTGGAGGGGAGGTCGGCCACATGACCGCGAAATTGACGTTCATAAGTGTATGAACGACACAATTTGACGTTCATACGTTTTTCACGAGATCGTGTTCTTGAAATGACGGACTACTTCCACATTCCTGGGGAAACCCCTGGGAATTCCCTACCACGAAAACATACATAAGCGTTCTTTCTGATCATTTAGAACCTTCATTCTTGGTCTCAGCGTTTCAGTATACATTGAGAAATGTCAGAGAGCGTGACTGCATGATTGTTCACGAATATCCTCGCTACGGCCCATCCTTATGAACAAACGAAGAAATGCACATCTAAACTATCGTAGCATCGATTCAATCCGTGCCTAGGCTGACATTGACATTGATTGTCTCCAGCAATCTATGAATTTACCTTAGTGTCGCAAGCTCCGACGTTCATACAGTTTGGCCCTCACTCTATGAAGGTTCATACTCCAATGAACTCACACAAAGTGAAGGTCAATTCTTAAATATACTCTTCAAAACAAGAAACGCATAGGTTGTAACAATGTTTTCAAAATTAATTGATTTGGTAATGATTTGGTTCGTTATTATATTTCCACTCACAGTTTCAACGCGCATGAATGCTTTGTCTGTGAAATCCCTTCCTTCCAGGTTCAAGAAATAGTTTTCCATTTCCACTCAAAAAGCTTTTGATCTTACTTACATTCCATTGGTTTTATCCCGACTTATTTCTTCAAGGTCTCCATTAATCAGTTCAATATCATTTTCTAAGTCCCTTTTCACGCCTTCATTAGTTTCATTATGAAGTGATATGGTTGGTTGTTGTAGTGTTCCCGAACAAAATTGTCGTACCGCGAATCATTTGTATTTATACTTCCCAAAACATCTGATTGCTAATTATGAATTCATCTTCACCAGTTTCTACATTATTGTACTATTCTTTTGTTTCAAGTTGGATATAAAACTTGGTTCTATTTCAAATTTTACAACAGAATATAGCAAATCATGGGTTGATGAAAAATATCGTTGTCGCTAAGTAAATCGTTTTTCTGATGGACAAAAATCTTATCGGGGATATCTTGAATCAAAGTCTTCCTTTAGTCTAAATAATCATAGTCTGGCTTTAGGATTCCTAATATGTTTGTAGTAATGAGAATCTGGAAAAATAATATTGGATAATATTCCAATCTCAACAAAGAAGTAATTTATGCGAATCTGGTGATCTCATCAACTCATCAATTTCATCGTAGAACTTCGGGGTATCTGTACTAGGCCCACATACATTGATATGGCTAATTTGTACTCATTAATGGTAAGTTGTTATACCAGAATGTTTCCCAGAATGTCTACATTTTCTTGTCATTGTATACAACAAATAGAAGAATGCTTTTCTTAAGAATTGCAAATATCTCCAGACGTTTGAATCTTTATTCTATCCTTCTTCCATTGTATGATGTTATTTCCTGGATCGGGCTGCCGTGCTGGAAATAATGACCAAACCGCCACAAGCAAAAACTCTCCTTTGACATTTGGTGAACTCCGTCTCACTTTGTAATGTTCTAAATACTCGCACTTGAAGCCTTGTAGAAGTCACAGAATACTTCTCCTGAATACAACATATGCGTTTCTGTTTTTGGAGAGTATAACGCCGAAGAATAAAATGAAATAATTTCAAAATATTGTTTCTACAAAAATAAACTATGCAATGAGAAAACGTCAACACACGACTTCTACAAATATATAAATTGTACACGCAGCTTCATACAGATTGAGATTTGTTTAAATTTGTCTTCAGTTTAGAGCCGAAAGAGGGATTTCATAAACAATATGCATTGTTTGTATGTTCCTGTTTCAGGGGAGACAGAAAAACCAAAATGGTTCAGGCAATTTACACAACGTGAGTATCTTATGAGTCTCAATGCTTTCCCTTGCTGTCGATCTTTAGATACGTTGTGAACAAAGCTCGTTTTCAACAAATGACAACTAACATGTTTAATCAAATGTATAAACTTTATATGCTGGATAACCCTTTTGAATGATCTTGAAATACATACAACTGATCTAATTGAAGGTCAGTTTCACCCCCAGGGCTATACACTCAAAAACGTATTATGTTCACCATAGTGAGTGAGTTAAAATTTTACGTCACATCGGCAATATTCCAGCCATATAGTGACGAGAACATTAATACAATTTAAACTTAGATAAATAAAAACCTGTCAACGACGGACAGTAGAATAACTAGACTATCACAGAAGTAAAACTAGTTGCGAACAATTAAAAGATCAATCTATGATTCGACAATACATCATAAAGACGGGCTAAAGATCGCCAGCAACCAAAGTTGCCACCATACTAGGGACCGTGGGGACCTACGATACTTCTGCTACCTACACGGTTCCCCAGCAGGATTTACACCATCGCTTCAGCTGCTGGCGATTGTAGTCAATTTTAGCAACTATTTAAAATCAACAAATATTCTGCGATTAAAAATTACGGTAGGAATAACAAACTGAATGATTGGGTCTTATGATACCCTCTCAGGAGGACAATATTTTTACCCTACTTCAACCCCCTTCGAGGGCACAGCCACAAACAATCTAGGTTAATAATTATACACTACCATTTCGTAAAACAATAACTATGTACATCAAAATTTATCAACTAATTCTACTTCTTTTAAAAAACTTATTATTAAATGAGAACTGAGATTAAAAAGATCCTTTATGGATGAAACTTTGAAATATTGATCCCTTGTAATGGCAAAATCAATACAGTCAAGCAGTACGTGCTTGACTGTGATTCTCTCATTACAAGGGATACAAAATGGAGGATCCTCACCTTTTAATAAATATTCATTTGTATATCTGGAATGGCCAATTCGACATCGTCATAAAATGACCTCTTCAAATCTTGACTGACAACCCAAGTAGGTGTAACCGATATTTGGTTTAATTTCATGTAATTTATTGATACCTGTTTGGGTGTCCCACTTCTTTTGCATTAGATCTCGGATGTGAGATCTAATAACGGGTTTAAAATCAGTGTACGGGATCAGAAGTGGTGTCACAGATTTGTTGAAATGCTGCTTTTTGCAGCAGCATCGGCCATTGTGTTACCAGTAATTCCAACGTGGCTAGGTAACCAACAAAAGACGATGTCGTACTGGCCAGTCGCAAGATAGTTATGTAATTCTATAATTTCACGTAAAAGTGGATGTTCAGATGAAATAATTTTAATGGCCTGAAGGCAGGAAAGGGAATCAGAAAATACGATGAACTGCTTATGTTTAGATTGAGTATTTATATATTTGAGAGCTGTTAAGATTGCCTGTGATTCTGCTGTAAAAATTGAACTGTCATTCGGTAATCTGGATGATATTGTTCTGGATCCAAGGACAGTGGCGCTAGCAACTGCGTCACTGTCCTTGGATTCATCAGTAAATATGGACTTGGAAGTGTTGTAAGTGCTTCTTAATTGATTATATTCTTGCTGATACATTAGTAGGTTAGTGTCTGATTTCTTTAGTTTAGTTAAGGAAAGATCTACTTCTGGCTTTACCAGTTGCCACGGAGGAGACGACAGTGTTTGAGTGGGAGAGATGTTACTGAGGTCAATTTTTGCAGCCGATAATTCAGGTTTTATTCTTATTCCAAGGGGTGGAGTGAGGGATTGTTTCTTTTGATACAGATACTCATACAGAGGATGAAAAACGCAGTCATATGCTGGATTAGATTGATTGGAACATAGTTTTGTGACGTATTGTAATGACAGTTTTATACGACGTTGTTTTAGAGATGGCTCATCAGCCTCCACGTACAGACTATTAATGGGTGAAGTTCTGAATGCACCAAGGCAAAGCCGTAGGGTTTGATGATGTATTGTATCTAATAATTTTAAATATACGGTTACAAGCTCCACCATAGATGATGGAGCCATAATCCAGTTTGGAGCGGATAAGGGCTCTGTAGAGTTGGAGTAGGGTTTTCTGATCCCCTCCCCACTTTGAATTTGAAACGACTTTCAGAAGGTCAAGGGCCTTCAGGCATTTATGTTTCAAATATTTTATGTGTGGTAAAAAGGTCAGATGGTGATCAAAAATAATGCCCAAGAATTTGGCTTCTTTTACAACTTTAATAGGAGTGCTATCCAAAACTAGTTCTGGGTCTTTATGTGATTTGTATTTTCTACAAAAATGTATACAATTCTTTTTTGATTTTGAAAATTTAAAACCATTTTCTAATGACCATTTATGGATTTTATTAAGACATAACTGTAATTGTCGTTCAATAGTATGCATATTTTTACCACGACATGAAATGTTAAAATCATCCACGAATAGAGATCCATCAATGGAATCATTTAAAACCTTAGATAAGCTGTTTATTTTAATACTAAACAATGTGACAGACAAGATACTGCCTTGTGGGACACCCTGATCCTGACTGTAATGATCAGACAGGGTAGAACCCACACGAACTTGAAATTGTCTATCTGATAAAAATTTGGATATAAATTGAGGCAAACGGCCTCGTCATCCAAAAATCATGTAAATATTTTAAAATATACTAGCCACATAAAGAAACTGTGCACGGAGAAAATATAGATATAAGGGCACACCGTCCATACATGAAATATAGGTTTGAACACAGCAATTATTGGAGACATTCAAACGCTCATGCACGTGCCATGCGATATGACGTCATTGATGGGGGCCTATGGACGTGCAATGTGTTACTGCACGTGCATCCTGTGCAGATGTACACAGCATGTGCAACTCAAAATTCGCAGTCACTTTGGAAAGCATGATCTGTGGTCATTCAAAAATTCAAAACTTCTCAGGCGCAGACACAAGCATATCACAAACAAATCATGCCAAGATTGACAGCTGCTCAGCGTCATGAAGCCATTGGAATCATCCGAGCGGGAATGAGGCAACAACAGGTGGCAAGACATTTCCAATGCCATCGTAACACGATATCGGCATTGGTGAGGCGTTATCAGAACACAAATGACGTTGCCGACCACCCACGTTCAGGACGTAACGACGCCAAGACAGGACAGATGGATTCGAGTAACACATCTCCGACACAGGTTCCAAACGCCAGTAACGACGTCCCAGACAATTCCTGGACTGCGCCGTATCCATCTCAACACTGTCAGGAATCGTTTACGTCAGTACGGGATTCGACCACGACGCCCTGCCATACGTCCCATCCTGACACACCGTCATCGAGTCAACCGTCTAAGATGGTGTCGAGATCGTGTTCGCCAACCTCGAATATGGTGGAGAAATGTTGTCTTTACAGATGAATCGAGGTTCAACATTTCCCACAGTGACGGGCGCCAACGTGTCTACCGTCGTTTGGGAGAACGTTATGCACGCAACTGTATTGTTGAGAGGAATCGTTTTGGAGGTGGCTCTGTGATGATTTGGGGTGGGATAGCAGCACAACACCGATCCCCTTTGGTGGTTGTTCAGGGCAATCTCACCGGTGTTGGCTCCAGAGATCAGATTCTGAGGCCTGTAGTCAATCCTTTCCTGCAACGTCATGGCCCGGGATTGACATTTCAACAGGACAACGCTCGTCCTCACACGGCTAGGGTCGCAATGGATTTCCTTCACCATAACAATGTCATGTTACTGCCATGGCCTGCAATTTCTCCAGATCTCTCCCCAATAGAGCATGTGTGGGATGTAATGGAGCGCCGTCTGCGTCGTCTTCCACATCCTCCAGATAACGTCCGTGACTTGGCACAGGTTTTGAGGAGGATATGGCAGGCCATTCACCTGGCCTTCCATGCCCATTTGGTGGACTCCATGCGTCGCCGATGCACTGCTGTGATTCACGCACAGGGTGGTCATACCCGTTATTGACTTTGTGACTTTGTCGTTTGACCCCTACTCCATTTTGATCTTCTGACGTCATCGTAACAGATGTTGTTCAGGTCCCGTTGACATTTTCTTATGGTCCGATCATTCAGCTGCTACAGCGTCTGCATCATTGTGTTCTTGCTGTGTTGTATTTCAATCCAGAATATATTTTCTCCGTGCACAGTTTCTTTATGTGGCTAGTATACCATGTTTCCATGTAGTGTCATATGCTTTTTCTAAATCGAAAAAGATAGACACTGCATGTTGTTTGTTTATGATGGCATTTTTAACAAAAGTTTCCAAACGAACTAAATGATCGATGGTACTTCTGTTTTTACGAAAACCACATTGTATATTTGTTAGTAGATTATTGGTTTCCAGATACCAAACTAAGCGATTATGGATCATACGTTCCATAGTTTTGCAAACGCAGCTGGTCAATGAAATTGGTCGATAATTTGAAGGATCTGTATGATCACGACCAGGTTTAGGGATTGGAACAATAATAGCTTCACGCCACGAAGAAGGAAATTCTCCTGAAGTCCAGATATCATCAAATATTGTTAAAAGGGTTTCTAGACATGATTGTGGTAAATGTTTGAGGAGTTGATAAGGTATATTATCTGATCCCGAAGCGGATCATGAGCCTGCCCAAGAGCAGTATGGAGTTCATGCATGGAGAAGATTTCATTATAATCTTCCCCATTATCTGATTTGAAATTGATAGATTTCTTTTCTTGCTGCTCTTGGTATGATTGGAATTTAGGGACATAATTCTACGAGGAAGAATGTTTAGACAGATTTTCACCAAGTTTATTGGTAATATCTGAAGAATCTGTCAACAAGTCATCCCCATTTTGAATATTGTGGATGGTAGTTTTAGAACCCTTACCTTTAATTCTTTTAATCATATGCCATACCTTAGACAATGGAGTACGTGAATTTATTTTAGAGACTTATTGTTGCCAAGATTGGCGTTTGTTTTGTTTAAATACGCGCCTGGCTTTAGCATTCAGAATCTTGAATTTATTTAGATTATGCACCATTGGATGGCGACGGAAATAATGCTCGGCCTTTTCCCTGGCCTTCCTAGCTTGCTTGCAAGTATCATTAAACCATGGTTTTCGTATGTGAGGAACCGCAGAGGACTTTGGAATACATTCATCAGCAATTTTTGTTAATTCATCAGAAAAACATTTGAAAGGATCAGGAACACCAATAAAAAGATTAGGTTTAAGTTTGTTTGTACAGAGAGTTCCATAGTAGGCCCAGTTAGCTTTATTAAAGTTCCATCTTGACGATGGAGGAACATCAGATGGGGTCACAGGCTTTAAAACAGTAGGGAAATGGTCACTTCCACAGAGGTCATTGTGGACTGACCATTCAAATTCATTCAGTATTTCTGAATCTGTAATTGACAAATCCAGAGAAGAGTAAGTACCTGTTCCAGGATGTAGATAAGTGTCCGAACCATCATTATATATGCACAAATTGTTATCAGAAATGAAATCTTCTATGGTCTTACCTTTGTTACTTGTATGCGCACTGCCCCAAAGCGGATTATGTCCATTGAAATTGCCCATAATGATACACGGCTTCGGGAGATGGTCATACAGGGCCTGAAGGTCAGTCTGCGTCATAGAAGACGATGGAGGGATGTAAACAGAGCATAGGGTAAGAACAATGTGCATTGTTATACGGACAGCGACAGCTTGAAGTGGGGTATCAAGAGTAACAGGGCTGTGAAAACACCCTGCCTCACCAAGACAGAAGAACCTCCAGTTGCTTTAGCACCCGGAGGGGAATAGAAATGATACGAATTATACTGTCTGATATCCATTAAATCAGTGGTTTTCAAGTAAGTCTCTTGGAGGCAAAATGCTGATGGTTTATGATCTTGTATTAATAATTGCAAATCATTAAAATTATGTCTTAGTCCTCTGCAATTCCACTTGATAATATTTGGAGAGCTACTCATGGTGGCTCAACTGGTGATCTGGAACGTGAGGGAGGACCACTCCCAGGTATGGAGTTGGAAGGAGTGACCTCCATCTCCAGAGGTTCAAACGAATTGTGAACCTCAACAGGGTTAGGCGTATGAGAAGGCACCCCAAAGTGTTGGAGGGCCCTGGCTCTTTTCTTAATCTGTTTTTTTTCTTTATTGGTCAAGTGGGCACCGCCCTTGACCTTTTCCAATGCTTTAACTGTTTCTTGGTCATGATGATCGAATTCAGTCTGTGATGCTGATGTTGGGACATGTGATGGTGCTCCTCCAGGGTGATCTGCCGTTCTGTCACCCAAGATAAAGTTGTTTGGCAAGAAGTGGAAATTGTATGAACTTTCTTGACAGGAATTGGCGAAGAGACGGTAGCAGAATAAGTTTTTGCAGCAGTAGTTTGGGATTGTGGTTGAACTAATCTTTTTGCGTCGTGATACGAGATATTTTGGGTGCATTTTATTTTGAGAATTTGGGACTCGTATATATATGATGTGCAGACTTTCGATGAAGCAACATGGACACCATCGCAGTTTGCACATTTGATAGATTCAGCAGAGCAGTCGGACCTCTCATGATCTCTACTACAACGGACGCAGACAGTGGTGCGGGTGCAGAATTTAGCCCCATGGCCAAATTTATGGCACTTGAAGCATCGGAGTGGGTTTGGTACGTATACCTCCACTCCGATGTTGAAGTAATCAGCTTTGAGAGAAGTCGGGAGTTTCTGCAGGTCAAAAGTGAACAAGTACGTATTTGTTTTGATGATTTTATAATTTTGATTTCTGGTGAAACAGCGGTTACACCTTGTACCTTTAGTTCATCTACAATCTCTTCTTCGCTCATGTCAGAAAGACACCGAGCATAGTCTCTAACAATACCCTGACAGGAGTTCAGAGTCCTGTGCTCAGAGACAACAACCTTGGTGTTAACGAACTGCTGTAGTCCCAGCAGGTTAACAGATTGTTGCCTCTGTAAACATTCAACCAGAATTGAACCACTTCGGAGTCGGGTCACATTTTTGACTACTCCGCAGGCATCTTCTATGCCCTTGGAGATAGCAAACGGGTTTAATTTCAATGGACTGCCATAGGCAGAGGCAATTACTATAAACCGAGGCCAAGAAACAGTATTTGAAGGATTATCTTCATCGTCAGATGAAATACAGTCGACATGTCTACGTTTGTAGGTCTTTGATGAACCAGAAGAAGCGTGGTGAGACATGGTAGTAGAATAGAATTCAACACCCTTGCTCCCCACCCACCATCGAGTGACAACAAGGACGATGTTGCAGCGGAAGCCAGTCTGCAACATCAGGGCTACAAAGGTGTTATACTCCAGAAAATACAGACATAAAAAGCCATGATATCTTAAAGAAGAAGTGCCAGGCTGGTTCGGCCCATGACACATTTCTCAAGAACACAGAATTTAGAGGTCTATATAACCAGATTGGCCAATGAGCCACCGCCTTCTGGCATGGGACTCTAGGCAGGTGGATAACAAAGAATGTATATGTATAATATTCATACCCAACATTCACATCAATCGAAAAATTATAATATGAACGTGTTGCATACACAGGGCATGGCGTGACCAGCCGATTGATAGAATCGGGCCTATTCTACCACCCGTCTAGGCGAAGTAAGGGTCGAAGTGGTGTGTTGGGCAAAAGGAACACCGGTTCCTGGCTCCAATGCCCTCAACCACCAGAATCCCGTCCTCCACCGACACAGGGGCGCAACCCACGGCAAACAGGTTGCCCAATTCGGTCGCCTTTTACGACCAGCAATGGGGTGCTGTGGAAATATTCTACCCCGGTTCCACACGGGGGAAGAGCTATTAGCGTTACCCAACACTCACAACGAGGAGGTTGCTCTTCACGAGTGCCTATGTTCACGATAACGTAAGAAGTGTAGCAGGATGAAATTAAGTATTTTTATATTATCATCCTTGGGGTGGGGCATTGAAGTGGTTCCGGTAAGGTTTTGTGCAACCTTCTTTGAAGCTAGAGGTCACTGGAATGGTAATTCATAAGGCAGTCCTGCTTGTCTGTGTACTTCACTGTGTCTTATCGGAGAGAGGGCCGTTGGGGTTTGATGGCTGCTGACATGAGAGCACGCGTGTAAGAGATAGCTCCCATGTTTTTCACCCGTAAGTCACCACAATCCAACACGATCTGAGACTAAATGACTCATACCAGAACAAATAACGCAAATAGAGGGAAGTCGGACCCCTCAGCGGCTTACCTAATAGCTTTTCTCTACCCGAAAGACAAAACTACGTTGGACTCGGACAAATCCAACCAACAAGGTACCACACGAGCCACCATGCTTGAAGTCGACAAAGAAGAAATGGAAATTTCATAGCCGAGTGTCTGCAACAGCATACATCCGAAATTACCTGCAGCATAACATAGATTTCTACCTTGCAAACGACTATAAATGACATGTTGGAAACCACGAACTTTAACGCTAATAGTATACACGTAAGCCAGAACACCGGAATTTAATTAAGTGTTGCTGAATTTAAGTCCACCTTCTAAAGTTTGCAAAACAAATGACAATATACTTTCGAAAGCGCAAACTGTCCCAGCAGTGTGTAAACAATGAAAAAACATAACCGATATTTTACAAGGTGTATAGGAGCTATAATGTCAAGTTGTTAACTTTCTCATGGGTTTGTTCCTTGGATATAAAATGAATGCTAAAAATTGAATTTGTTTACAATGATATCTTAATGAGAAATAAACGTGATTTCATGAGTAATATGCAATGTTCGTATGTTCCTGTTACAGCGGAAACAGAACGACCACCAGAACGACAATCAACACGAGGTAAGTCTCTTATCTATCTCAGTGCCACAGATACAGAGAACTTCACGAATGCTTAGCACAACCAGTGCTGGCGCAATGTTCTTGAAATATATATATAAATATTCGCGTGTGTGTGTGTGTGTGTGTGTGTGTGTGTGTGTGTGTGTGTGTGTGTGAGAGTGTGTGAGTGTGTGTGTGAGTGAAAATGTTGAGCCAATGTATTCAACGAATAGACGACTGGATAGCTTAAAATAGGAGAAAATGCTACAGTGTGTAAATAGGGTTATCGGGGTTATCGGTGACGTTTTTGAATGATCATAGGAGATTTCATAAAAGACAGATACCCGTGATCACTAACATATTATTTTTGAAATGACTTTCTCCGAATAAATATCCGAAATTTTAATTTCAAAACATGCTGTAAATAATGCCGTGAATGGTGATTTAGTAATGTGTAAAAAATGGCGACATTTATGCAAACAATGACATGTCAATGACATAACAATGACATAATAAGTAATATATGGATTATATATATATAGGATTGGGCAATTAGGAGAACTCCTTGCCCATGACCCTGGGGCTAAGCTGTAACACGCCGGATATGTCCTAGGGTACGCACAATATGTAGGCAAACTATGGTGAGAAAAGTAATAAATGATAACATGCAGATGATTGTTCAAAGGGATGTGGATGGTTAAACAAAATAATTCATGCCTAAAAACTTCTTCAATATGGCGAAAAACAAAGAAGTGCTTGCCGAAATGCATTATGGGTCAATTTGCTAAGGCACTGTGGGTAGTATTGTTTGATAGATAATACTGTTAGTTTGACAAAGCATAATGCTATTTATTCCCTACGACGTATATATGTATACTGTTATGCAAATGCACAATACATTTGAATGGGCCATATTAAAATGCAGTGCTGGACACATAGTAGATACGCCGTACCTGTGGACTGGGGTAAGATAGCATCAGAGAGCATGTAAATGAAAATACACACACGGTCGAGACCTGCGTAACTGATACGTAGAAAACCAGCATGGTACACGGAACGTAACTTTGTATTGATGCGTTATGGATATTGAAAATGGCGATTTTTTGCTTTGCCTAAAATGACATTGGATGATATCACAGAACAGGGAATTCCCTGAAGTATTCGAATTTGTGAAGTGTATTTGTGTGCGTGACGTATGTTGACTTTTATTCGACTTCAAAGTGAGGGTTAAAGAGGAGGGAAATATATGTCCCTCTGGCATCCAGGGAGTTTAACAATAAAATGACGTCACACATGTCAAGCTTCATATCTTACAGTTTTATTTCATGACACATGATACTATTTGAATCTATTAAACTGAAACTCGTTACAGGTTACGCGCATTTTACACTCACGCATGTGACATTAGTTGGCTGCACACGGATTGAGCACTCTTGAAACCAATGCAATGAAGCACCAGTGTCACATGTTTGTGTCATGCGTTCTCAACACATGTAATTCAAAAGGGAAATCAACTTCTAGGTCGTGGTGTATATGCGGGTAAAGTATGAGGATGTAAAAAAACGACGTTTGCGCATTTGAGGTGCAATATTTTGTTTTGCGACAACCCTCGGTTTACTGACTCTGATCTGACCTGCCCTTGTGTTATACGCTTAATCCCTAGTACCATCTTTTAACATCTGTTGGTATGACCACCTTTCTTTCGCTCTAAGGTCTGACGCTCTATCGACTAGATTACGTGCGTGGTCCTTCATAGGAGGTAGGATCTTGCCATTGGCAAATAGCTTTGAAAAGTGATACATACTTATATGAATGATAACAGTTGCAACTAAGTACAGACGGTACTGATAATCTTCGAAGTTGTTCCATAGTGACGAATGAACTCTGAATAAACATCATCTTTCAGGCACTAACATCTCTGGTAGGGACATGGGCATATTTGAAATACCTGTCTGACACATAGGTCACATAGTTGCTACAATGCAAATCGTTGATGCTCTTCTGGTTTTGTTCCTTGCGAATTGTATGAATATATTCCCAATTCATGTATGACATATCATAACAGCTTATTTTTATGTTTTTGTTTCGAATGTAACAGTGGTATTTAATGAATGCATAACGATTGCCGTTTGCAATTTATATCTCGATCAAATGGTGAATTAAAACAATCAATTCTATAACGATGCGCCTATCTTGCTTATCCAATAATACAGGGAAAAACGAAACACGTGAATTGGCAAGGGAATCAACTCACGGTAAGTATACTCTGAATACCTAACATAGACTTAGAAACGTATATACACTTCAAAACAAGAAACGTAAAGGTGGTAACAATGTTTTCAAAAGTAATTGATTTGGTAATGATTTGGTTCGTTAACATATTTCCACTAACAGTTTCAACGCGCATGAGTGCTTTGTCTATGAAATCCCTTGCTTCCAGGTTCAAGAAATAATTAGTTTCTCCCATTTCCACTCAAAAAGCTCTTGATCTTACTAACATTCCATTGGTTTTATCCCGACGTATTTCTTCAAGGTCTCCATTTATCAGTTCAATATCATTTTCTAAGTCCCTTTTTAATTAGTTTCATTATGAAGTGATATGGTTGGTTGTTGTAGTGTACCCGAACAAAATTGTGCTTCCGCGAATTGTATTAATACTTCCCAAAACATCTGATTGCTAATTATGAATTCATCTTCACCAGTTTCTACATTATTGTACTATTCTCTTGTTTCAATTATGACGTTTTTGATACTTTTGACATATTCCAGGACTAATAAAGAGAATGATTAAAATTCCAAAAGTAAGTCTGGTAGTTTGAGATTTATCGAAGTAGGTGAATGGTCGGATTTTAAACAAGGTTCTATTTCAAATTTTGCAACAGAATATAGAAAATCATAAAAAATATCGTTGTCGCTAAGTAAATCGTTTTTCTGTTGGTCGAAAATCTCAACGGGGATATCGTATATCAAAGTCTTCCTTTAGTCTAAATAATCATAGTCTGGCTTTAGGATTCCTAATATGTTTGTGATTATGAGAATCTGGAAAAATAATATTGGATAATATTCCAATCTCAACAAAGAAGTAATTTATGCGAATCTGGTGATCTCATCAACTCATCAATTTCATCGTAGAACTTCGGGGTATCTGTACTAGGCCCACATACATCGATATGGCTTATTTGTACTCATTAATGTTAAGTTGTTATACCAGAATGTTTCCCTTTTTTGTTTACATTTTCTTGTCATTGTATACAACAAGTAGAAGAATGCTTTTCTTAAGAATTGCAAATATCTCCAGACGTTTGAATCTTTATTCTATCCTTCTTCCATTATATGATGTTATTTCCTGGATCGGGCTGCCGTGCTGGAAATAATGACCAAACCGCCACAAGCAAAAACTCCTTTGACATTTGGTGAACTCCGTCTCACTTTGTAATGTTCCAAATACTCGCACTTGAAGCCTTGTAGAAGTCACAGAATACTTCTCCTGAATACAACATATGCGTTTCTGTTTTTGGAGAGTATAACGCCAAAGATTATAATGAAATAATTTCAAAATATTGTTTCTACAAAAATAAACTATGCAATGAGAAAACGTCAACACACGACTTCTACAAATATATAAATTGTACAAGCAGTTTCATACAGTTTGAGATTTGTTTAAGTTTGTCTTCAATTTAAAGCCGAAAGAGGGATTTCAGAAACAATATGCTTTGTTTGTATGTTCCTGTTTCAGGGGAGACAGAAAAACCAAAATGGTTCAGGCAATTTACACAACGTGAGTATCTTATGAGTCTCAATGCTTTCCCTTTCTGTCGATCTTTAGATACGTTGTGAACTATATTCGTGGGAGTGGGTGAGTGGGTGGGTGAGTGAGTGAGTTAAAGTTTAACGTCACTTTGGCAATATTTCAGCCATATCGTGACGAAACAAAATTTTTGATATTTACAATATATTTTAAACTGTATAAAATTCTGCCGACAAAGAGCAGTATAATAACTAGAACATCACAGATTTTCGTAAAACTAGTTTGAGAACAATTTAAAATAGATAACTAACTAATCATTTAACAACAGATTTTTACAAACTGGCTATAGATCGCCACCAACTGAAGGTTGATCACCGCGCTGGGGACCATGGGGACTTACAGTACTTTTGCTACCTGCACTGAACCCAGTCGGATTTACTACTTCCCTTCAACAACTGGCGATTGTATGCAAAGTTAGCCACAAGTAAAAATACAAATATTCTACGTTTAAAAGTGTAGTAGGCAGAAATATTCTTTGAATGACATGGACTTACGATATCCTCTTAGGGGGACAATAATTTTAAACTTCGTCAACCCCCTTTGAGGATACGGCCAGTAACAAACTCTGATATAATTTCATTCTACTTATTTAAAAAAATTTATACACAATACATATTAACAAATTTTATGAAATAGTTTTATTTCTTTTAAAAAATCAATAATTAAATGAGAACTTATAGTATTTAAAAGATCCTTTATAGATTTGACCTGAAAATATTTATCCCTTGTGATGGAAAAATCTACACAGTCTAGCAAAACATGCTTGACGGTGATTCTTTCATCACAAGGGATACAGAACGGAGGATCCTCACCTTTCAAAAAATATTCGTGGGTGTAACGGCAATGGCCAATACGACATCGTCACATAATGACCTCTTCAAATCTGGACTGACAACCCAAGCAGGTGTAACCGATATTTGGTTTAATGTCATGTAATATATTGCTACCTACTTGGGTGTCCCACTTCTTTTGCATCAGATCTCGTATGGTACCTTTGATGCCAACATGGCTTGGTAGCCAGGAAAAAACGATGTCGTATTGGCCAGTAGGACGTTCATTATATAATTCAAGTATTTCGATTAAAAGTGGATGTTTGGTAGATCGGAAAATATAATAAATTGTTCATCCTTTGATTGTTTACGAATGTATTCTTGTGCTGTTAATATGGCCTTTGATTCAGCTGTAAAAATGGAACAGTTATCTGGTATTCTAGATGATACTGGATCCAATGATGGTGGCACTGGCAACTGAGTCACCATCCTTTGATCCATCGGTAAATATAGATTTATAAGTATCATATTTGTTTCTTAACTGATTATACTCTTGTTGAAAAATTAGTTGATTCGTTTCAGATTTTAACAATTTAGTTAAGGTTAGATCCACCTCTGGTTTCACTAACTGCCATGGATGGGAAGTCAAAAGTTGGGTGGGCGCTATATTTTCGAGATTTATTTTAGCAGCCGAAATGGACGATTGTATTCTTAGGCCGAGGGGTGGAATAAGTGATGATTCTTTTTGCATATAGGTCCTTATAAAGAGGCTTAAAAACACAGTCATAGGCTGGATTGGATTTCAACGAACGTAATTTAGAAATATATTGCAAAGATAATTTAACGTGACGTTGTTTAAGTGAAGGCTCATCAGTCTCCACGTACAGACTATGAAATTTGAGAAGTTCTAAAGGCTCGAAGGCAAAGCCTCAGGCCCTGATGATGACTAGAATCCAGTTTTTTAAAATTGCTTTTGCATACTCCACCATAGTCGATGGAGCTGTAATCAAGTTTAGCGCGGATGAGGGCTCTGTACAGTTGGAGGAGGGTTTTCTGATCCCCTCCCCATTTTGCATTTGGAACTACTTTTATTATATCCGGAGCCTTCAGGCATTTAGTTTTTAAATAATTTATGTGTGGCAGAAAGGTCAAGTGGTGGTAAAAAATAATACCAAGAAACGCCTCTTTGACAACTAAATCAGGGTTCTTATGCGGCTTATACTTTCTACAAAAATGAATGCAGTTGGTCTTGGCTTTTGAAAATTTAAAGCCATTTTCCAGAGACCATTTGTGGATTTTGTTTAAACACAATTGTAGTTGCCTTTCAATGGTATGCATGTTTTTACCACGACAAGAAACCTTAAAATCATCCACAAGAAAAATTAAAATCATCCACAAGTAATGATCCATCAAGTGCATCGTTTAAAACCTTCGACAAACTGTTTATCTTTGTGCTAAACAATGTCACAGACAAGATACTGCCTTGTGGGACATCCTGATTATAATGGTCAGACAGGGTTGAACCCACACGAACTTGAAATTGTCTATTTTTTTTTAAAACTGAGATATAAATAGAGGCAAACTAAACCAAAATCATGTAGATCTTTTAAAATACAATACTTCCATGAGGTATCAAATGTTTTTTCGCGATCGAAGAATATTGATACAGCATGTTGTTTATTTATTCTTGAATTTTTAATAAAGGATTCTAAACGTACTAAATGATCGATGGTACTACGATTTTTGCAGAAACCACATTGAATGTTAGTGATGAGATTGTTGGTTTCCAAGTACCAAACTAAACGATTATTTATCATACGTTCCATAGTCTTACAAACGCAGCTAGTAAGGGATATCGGCCGATAATTAGAGGATTGGTATGATCTCGACCAGGATTAGGTATAGGAATGACAGTAGCATTTCGCCATGATGATGGCAAATTACCAGAAGTCCAAATATTGAGCATTGTTTCTAAATATGATTCAGGTAAAAGTTTAAGGGGCTGATAATGAATATTATCAGGCCCCGAAGCAGTATCATGAGCTTGCCCAAGGGCGGTTTGGAACTCATGAATTGAAAATACTTAATTTTAACTAAGATAACGGTGAGGATTATAATGAAGTTTAATAGAAATAGGTGTTCGTGAATTAATTTTAGAAACATACTTTTGCCATGACTGTCGTTTATTTTGTTTAAATGTGCGACGAGCCTTGGCGTTCGAAATGTTGAATTGATTTAAGTTATGCACAGTTGGATGGCGACGAACATATTTTTCTACCTTCTTCCTAGCCTTTCTAGCTTGTTTGCAGTCCATGTTAAACCATAGTTTACGGATGTGTGGAACCGTAGAGGACTTTTGGATACATTCATCAGCAATTACATTTAATTAATCAGACAAAACTTGAATAGGATCAGTAACATTTAGAAATAATTCAGACTGTAATCTTTGCGAGCACATTGTATGAAATAAAGACGAATCGGCCTTTGTAAAATTCCATCTTGATGATGGTGGAGGAGCATCAGATGGATTTACGTTGAAATTACTGTGGGAAAATGGTCACTTCCACAAAGGGCATTGTGGACTGACCATTCAAATTCATTAAACAGAATGGCATCTGCAACAGATAAATCCAGAGAAGAGTACGAGCCCGTTGCAGGATGTAGATATGTGTTAGAGCCATCATTAAAAATACATAAATCATTATTTAAGAAGAAATCCTCGAGTATCTTACCTTTTGTATTGGTCCTATTACTGCCCCAAAGTAGATTATGGCCATTGAAATCTCCCATTATAATGCAGGGTTGAGAGAGCTGGTCATAAAGGGCATGGAGATCTGACTGATGTAGAGAGGATGATGGCTGAATATAGATTGAACACAAAGTAAAAACAATATGCAGCGTAACACGCACTGCAACTGCCTGAAGAGGGGTATTGAGTGGAACAGGGCTATGAATGGTGCTTTGACGCACCAAAATAGAAGATCCTCCAGTAGCCTTCTCACAAGGAGGAGAGAAGATATGGAAAGGAATCATGATGTCTTAAATCAAATTTGTCTGTGGATTTAAGGTATGTTTCCTGCAAACATAATGCTGATGGATTGAAATCGTGAGTTAAAAGTTGTAAATCATTAAAATTGTGCCTTAGTCCTCTGCGGTTCTACTGAATGATGCGGTTAGAACTGGTCATGGTGGTTCTACTGGGGATCTTGACCCGGAAGGAGGTCTACTCCCATGGCCTGTCTGAGATGGAGTGATCTCCATCGCCAAAGGTTCAAATTGGTTGTGAACCTTAACAGATGGGGACTGACAGGAAGGCACCTCCAAGTGTTGGAGTGCCCTGACCGTTTTTTCAGTTTCTTTTTTTTTCCTGTTTTTGTCAGATGTGAGTCTCTTTTATGTTGATGATTCTGGTTCCAATATTTGATTAGTAGGATTTGATGATTGTAGATCCTCTGTCTGTGAGGCTGATGTTGCTGTTTTGGTATCATCAGGAGATGTTTGAGGCGGGATATCTACGGTTTTCTGCTTATCACTCATCCAAGAGATGTTTGTCTGGCATCCGATAGATGTTGTAGGAACTTTAACAATAGGAGTAGAAGTTACAGCTGCAGAGTAGGATTTTGTAGGAATATTTGGTGATTGAGATTGAACTAAGTTTTTGGCATGACAAAAAGAGACATTATTAGTGTGTTTTACTTTTGATATTTTGGATTGAAGGATAAACTTTGGACAAAGTTTGGATGAGGCCAAGTGGTCCCCATCACAATTTGCACATTTAATGGTGTCTGTGCACCGAGTACGCTCATGTGAGCCCTACAGTGGACACAGACTGTGTTACGGGTGCAGGTCTGGGCACCATGTCCAAACTTTTGACATTTGTAACATCGGAGTCGGTTTGGGACATAAACCTCCACTCCGATGTTAAAATATCCGGCTTTGATGGAATCAGGAATTTTCGAAAGTGAAAATGTGAAGAGATACGTGTTAGTCTGAATGATGTTGTTATCCTGTTTTCTCGTGAATCGTTTGACGGCTGTAACCCCTTGTTCAACAAGTTCAACAACAATTTCACCTTCACTCATGTCAGAAAGACATCGGCTCTGTCTCTTACGATGCCTTGACATGAGTTCAGCTTTCTACGTGCTGAGACAGCAACCTCTACATTTGCGAATTGGCTGAGTGATAACAAGTTGAGAGATT